AGCCACGACGTTTCTTTCTTTCTTTCAACTTGTCATAAAATACAGAAAGATAAAATACTCATCTCTTAATCTCGTCTCATTATGATAAAAAATAAAGTACATATATATTAGGTTCATGGAATGTAACTCCTTTAAACGGTTCTATAGTTGTACCCTGCTCTGTCAATATAGCATAATCGAATGTCTTGCTTGATAATGTCACGAAATAGAAGTACATTCATAATATAAGTTCCGAGTGTAATATTATTTCCACTGGAACAAATATTAAAGTATTTGTTTCTTACGGAAAAAAGGGTATAGAATATCTGTTCCAACAGGAGCAGATATTATGGCATTGTGTATAACAAAGTTTTCAGGGGAACGTCTGTTAGGCAGAACACATATACGTTGACAATAAAACAAAACTTTTTATTTTTTAGGCCTATTTCTCTTAATTATGTAATACCTCAAGAAAACCTCAGACAGACGAGGCAGACCCTCTCATACTGGTTTGGCGTATTCTCCTTGATATTGTGCGGAAGTACGATAAAATTGAGAAAAGGAAACATTTTTCTGCAATAAACAAATATGATCTTTTTTTTAATCTAATATGAAATGTGTCCTTTGACTTTTGTGTATTTTTCTAGTTTTATACACTATCTACTTCTTAAACTGGTTTTTAATCTCATGTCCTTAAGTGTTCAGTTTTAAATGTAGCTATCGTTTGAATTAGATTTATCCAGGAAGCGCAGTAGTCAGCACTTATGTGTTGACATGAATTATATATATTGACAATTAATCGATAATAATAATATCAATACATAGTTATAACTGTTTACAAAACTTTGAATTGTTCGAAATACTCATCATGTTCTACCCCAGGAATAGGTTAAATTTGCTGTATTTGGCAAAACCTTTATGATTTTTTTTTGTCCTCAAGGCTCTTAGTATATGTAAGAGAATGATACTTCCTTTCTTCATGATAAAGTACGAGCGTTAGCGAGTACTTATCATGAAGAAAAGGATTATCATTCTCTTACAAACTTAGAATATTGTAAAGTGCTCAAGGCTCAAATGATCTCTTGATTGGTTGTATTTAAGAATTAGTTTCATTGTCAGCGCAATGTTTGTAGGCTTTTCATTACCTGTGCGTAGGAACTATTTTGTTTTGAATATGTACTACTTTCCAGTATGTTCTTTTCGACCGGGCCCGATTGGGTGGTGTTACATCTTACAAAGTCTGTCCAAATTATTTTTGCAAAGAATTCAACTTAAGCCGGTGCTAGGGGCCGTCTTAAACTTGCAGTGAGGTGAGAGTCTTTTTGCTCCGTGTTGAGGTCTCACTGTGACCTTGAGATGAAGAACAGCAATAAAAGCGCTGTTCCTTTGCTTTTTGTATGTTTTTTTTTGTTGTTGTGCATTAACTGATCTTGTGTCATGGATGGATACCCCATATCCTTTGTTTTTCTATTAGTTTTAGTCATGTTAGGACTTTCTTATAATTTTTGAAAATATAATAGATTGTGTTTTAGACATTATAGATGACACAACAGTACAATGAAATGGTAAGAAATGTTTCCTGATTTTTAGTATGAATGTAAATCATGTAATATTATAGCGAAGAATTATCATTTTTTTTTATTTCCAGTTCAAATCAATAAATTCAAAATTTGAATTACAACTAAATTTTATTTTACAGCCAATATTTTTATAATCAAAAATTAAACTAAATTTATTTTTTTTGAATTTTATCAGAATATTGAAACTATTCTCACCTACCGCGGATCCAGTAATCTGAGTATAAGCTTAAGATTTGTGTTTTATTTAATTTTAGAACATTTTTTCCTTTTTTTTTCTTTTTTGCATTGCTTTGTTATTGTTTATTTTTTTAGTTATTAACGGTACCAATGTTACCGCACCAGTAAACTTCATCTTATTTTGAATTCATTTGTTTGTTTCAAAATTCAACTTTTAGTCAGTTTTAATCACAAATTCATTCAAGCTGATAAATGTGCTTCGGGGCATTTATAACTCATTTATAGAAACTCTTTGTTTTGAACTGTAAGTAGGCCTAAACAATAGGATAATCCCTTACTAAGAACATGATTTCATTCATTCTTCACAATTACGAAACACGCGAATGGTGTTCACATTTATAAGTCTGGTAGCTTTGATCATTTTTTAAAAGGTTATCACTAACAAGTATTTAGATTTTTGAAAATTGTCTATCCTTTATATATAATCAACGTTCTGAATCAATTAACTTGTGGAAGGCTGTGTCAGATCAGACTCATTTGTTTAGACCAGTCGGTTACTTTCGAAATTTATTTGAATGTCTTCTATCTGCTGATAGCTGTTTTCATCGAGACTCCATTTTGAAGTATCATAACAGTTTTTTTTTTTTACAGAGTAGTTTTTAATAAGAGTAGTATATGTACACCTTCCTGTATACAGTTAAACTTAATATTTTTTTTAGTTAATAACAAGTAATATTATGTAATTTAATAATCCGCGTAGCATTTTTTAGGTTATTTCGAATAGACAGAAAAAATATTACAGTCATTCCTTATAATTTAATTCTAAATTCCGTTTTTAAGGAGTAAATTTTGAAAAAAACGTTGGTGACGTCACGGTCACATGACAAAATTATGTCTATGAGCTGATAGACAAAACACTTTCAGCCAATCAGAAGACGTGTTGCATCCAAAATTAAATTATATTTTTTATAACGTATAGCAAAGCGTCGATGGTGAAATTTCTATTTGTTTCTAAACTAGCATTGACTAAACTTCATCGTAGTGTTCCATGCGACATAACTCTTACTGATATAGTTTCAGTAGATTGAAACGTTTATACTACAACATACGTGTTTTGAAGCAAATCAACGTAAGGTCTACCGACATTGCTGAAAACTGTATGACTTTGTTCAGTTACAAGAAGACAGTCCGGGAACTTCGAACTCGACAGAGACCTAGACATTACCTGCCGGTTAAAAGAGATAATAATTACAACTATAAGTTGATAAAAATGTATATATTTCTTAATTTTACATAAGAATACAACTTTTGTGTTCGCAAACCACCATCCGAATGTGATGAAGTAGCAGGCTTTAACACATGTATCACCCCCAGTACCAACATTGCCTTACCTTCTCTCTAGTACAATACATGCATGAAATATTTGCCACGTGACTTTTAACAACCAACAATCAATCACCAATCAATCAACTTCTGTCTCATTGGCAAACATACAATATTTCCATATTTTTCAGTGTATGAATAAGGTGGATATTTTGACCTATAATGGTTTACTTTTACAAATTGTGACTTGGATGGAGAGTTGTCTCATTGGCACTCATCCTACATCTTCTTATATCTATAGTCAATTCATTTGCATGTGTACATTTGTATTTAAAAGCTATCAATGTTGTACTTAAAGTATTACGAAATCAGCACTTACATAAACTGATTGATTGTTGGTTGCTTAGACGTTTTTTGTCGAGTATTTCACATATATTCATGATCACTACGAGAAGTATAAAACACAGTCGTTCTGTAACGTAGGTGGACCAGGATAAAAGGACTTTTTTTTTCTGCCAATGAAAATCAAAGGCGTATTGGTAGGTTTTGAAATTATGCCTCATAAAAGGTCACCAACGAGTCTTTTTTGAAAGCCTGTTGTTCTCATGCGTCAAAATGCAAACAGCAACATATTCCTTGAATTAAACTTTCCATTTCAACCCGGACATGACTTCGTCATTGTACATCCCGCAGAGTCAAACGTTTACCTTACCGCAGCACTGGGATTTACTACAGAAGTAAAGACAAAAACAAAGTAGCCACACTATGCCCTGAGTGACCTCGGGATCGGACAAATAGATAGTTATATATTGTCCTTTATCACTAAAAGATATACATTGGGACTTATTGTATCTTTGGTCCAAGATATATCATTCTGGTAAAAAAATGGAAAATAACTACGCCAAAATAACTTGTTACGGCCAGAAATCACCTTTAAATTGTAGCCAACAAAAGACAAAAATCAATAATAAATTCAACAAGATTTATTATATAATTTTTACAAGAAATATTATACAAATAGAAATGTCAACTTAACTATTAAATTATCTGAATGTCCGATCCTAGTCTTTTCTTTATCCGGAATTCTTCTCTTATTTGTTTCGGAATCCAAATAGAATATTAATATGCCCAATAATAGTTCACAAACTAGTATGATGTTGTTAACGTAAATGAAAGTGTCAATCCAATAACTCCAGAGATCTTCTTAGAATACTAGTATATTTCTGAAGTCAGTACAATTCAGCGTCTATATATATAATTACCACGGAAACTTCTAGAACTCTGTAGAAGGGAACTTCTAGTACACTGTAGAAGGGAAATTTCTAGAACATTTTGGAAGTTTAAATTACGCATCGTAGATTATGATCATTATGCAAGTCAAATAGAAAGTTCTAATCATTCCATCAGTATCTTTGATTGTTCCAGTGATTTCTTAACATTATTTAGTAAACAACTATAAATAGTAAACAACCCAATTATGTAAACTCCTTATAAGGCCACATAAAACAAATTAGGCCAAGTCAAATAATTATAATAACTACAATCTCATAACAAACTATATGTATACCATCTGATATCTGCTCTTTAATTAAAGTGCTGTTGCTACAGAAAAGTATCTTCATTAAGCTTGATGAAAATAATTCTCTTTAAACATTTTATTTCCACTCTTTCATTATTTGTTGATTAATTTTTACTATGCTAGTATCATATTAACTTGGAAACAAATCAAGATTGGACTATTTGAATTTTTGCACAATAAAAGGTACAAGCTATATAAATGAATATTACAGAGGAGGGATACAAAATAGACATCTTGAGGACAATACATACACGAGACATATATCAAAAACATCGAAAAAATATGTGTATAGACCAAGAAAGACTTACATGACCGTTTAACACTAAAACAAAAACCAGGCAATACTAACTCTATTCAAAACCATGCATATAAGTGGTAAGTATATTATCCTACTTCACATGTAATGCATGTCCTATGATCAAAGGTCAAAGCAGGTAATAAGTCAAATTCACAAGGACCAAACTTGATTCCAGAAAGGGAAGCATTTAAGAAAATTGATGATCAATTGTGCCATATACATCAGATAAAATTATTTTCTATGCAAATTAGGCAAAACACTCATCATTTTCTCGTTTTTAATTTTTTCACATTTTCATGTCGGGGCCCTTTATAACTGACTATACGGTATGAGGTTTTCTCATTGTCGAAGGCCGAATGGTGGCCCATAATTGCTTACATCCACTTCATTTGAACTCTGGTAGATAATCATACCACATCTCCTTGTTTTTAAATCTGTCTTACATATTTTCTTACATGTATGTAAAGCCTGGAGTTAAGTCTAAGAAAAACAAGGAAAGTGGTTTTGCAACTGAAATAAACTTAACAACTTAATCAATTGCTTTACTTTAAATCTGTGGATAGACAAGTTTTACACTTATATCTTTTTATAATAGTTGAAATATTGAAACCATAACCTCATATTTTTGGTTACACTCTTTTAGTGCTAAAATTGAAAATAAAAGTGATTTGTAACGTTTATTCATATACTGCTTCTTTAAGAATGAACGCTAAATTAGAAAAAGAAGTGGAATTTAACTGAAAATTTGAACACGGCAAATTCGATTCCGTTTAGATAAATTATGCCTTGTAAATATGCACGATCTTTGACCATTTAGAACTAGGAACCCTCACAATTAATGGTTGATCGTCATATTAATTAAAGCAATAACAGATCCATTCAATATTGTTTACAATAGTTCTTAGAAAGCAATAACACATAAAACTAATTATTAGTTGTATTTTCGACATTTAACACACGTCTGTTGTTTAATCAGATGGAAGTTTGAAGATATTCATTACCCGCTCTTCTGGTTTTACTATGACAGGGACAATGTCTCGGTATTGATAAATGGACCCAGAGAACAAGCCAACACATCAAAACTTCTTTTTACAAACATTGTGAGTTATTGGTTTCTGAAATCAAATTTTCTTCTAGTACTAGAAATAAAAATCTTGACATCGTAAAGCTTAAAGCTTTACTTTTGGAAACCATACTTTAGGATAATTTTCCGAGAAGTAAATGTGTCAGATTTGTGTTTGTTTATTAAAGCTTTTTTATCATTAATATGCAGAAAATAAATGATTAATATCTGTTACAATATGCGTATAAGAAATATAAGAAACAAAACCTGTTTCAAAAAAAAATATAGCTACCCGAGTTATCTATGACTGTCTACCCAAAAAGGTACCTGGAGTATTGGAATTTGTCCAAGTTTCTCCTCGATAATGATACGACTCCCTCGCAAGGTATATCTGTTTGTCTTTACTATGCATTTCCTGTCGAATGCAAACGTTAAGAGCACACGATACAGTTTTGTTCCCAGGGTGATTTTTTTATACAAAAAATGCATACAATTTTTACCTAGTAATTCTTATTTTTTTTTTTTATTTAACTTTAACGTGCAGAGATAGTGGCACTATTTTTAGACGAGAAATCAGATTTAACGTCCCCATTCCGACCAGATGTTACTGCGTATTTATTCATCCTGCACAGCTCTTTAGTATAAGGTTTAAAGCCGAATGAGAGCGACCATATTTCTATATCCCAGAAAAATAACCCTTTTGGTATGGTTTTCAGAGGATATTCAGATTTTTATCTCACCTAGCTTAAAGTGTCAGTGTGAGCTTTTCCCATCACTTGGCGTTCATCGTCTGTCGTCGTCGTCCGTTAACTTTTACAAAGTCTTCTCCACTAAAACTTATTTAATCAACCTTGACCACACTCATCTTGATAGATAAGATAATAGATAGATAAAAATATAAATAGCGAAAATGATCAACAAGACATCATCTATAAATAAATCAACATGGCCGACATCGTCAGTCGACTCCTTATTGCCCTTTTAACGACGATTTTAGCAATTATTTGCGCTTTTGCCAATTATCTTTAAAAGATAGATAAAAGTTCAAATGGCCAAAAAGATCAACAAGACGAAATCTACAATTAAATCAACTTGGCCGAAATCGTCAGTCGACTCCTTATAGGAGTTATTGCCTTTAAATGACAATATCTTTACATAGTTTTGGCGTGTTTGCCTATTAACTTGATTATAGATAGGTAGACACTTTAAAAGGCATAAATGATCAGCAAGCCAAGGTCTGTTAACAGGTTAGCCTAGATGAAATTGTCAGTTAGACATCTAAAGATAAGTCACCTGGTCGAAATCGTCATTCGACTCCTTATACGATTTATTGCCCTTAAATGTCTAAAATGACGATTTATCACCCTGTTTTTTTATTAGGGGGGGGGGGGGGATATATAGAAGGCAGAGAGAAAAATCAGCAGTACAAGAATAACAAAAACAGAGTTTAGTCATGAACTATATTGTAGTCTACAATGTTGGACAGTGTCAATTGTTGAAGATGCACATAGACCTAGGTGAGCGACACAGGCTTTTTAGAGCCTCAAGTTTAAATATAAAGAAGTAAAGGATGTTTCTTACCATTTAATCATATATATATAAGTCATTTTATCTGTTGAAAGTGCCCGATAGGATCCCGATTTACTGTAACCATTTCCTTGTTGTAATCATTGCAAAGCGCACAATAAACCTTCTATAAGAACGTTACCCTGTGTCGGTTTCTTCTCGTCAGTGCTAGCGAGCAAAAGGTTTACTGATGAAGGTAAATCCAGAAAAGCGCTTCGGACGCATGAAATTATTAAACGTGTTGTTTTCAATTTTTTACATCACTGGGTCGATACCTCTGCTGGTGGACTATCAGTCCCCGAGGGTATAATCAGCTCAGTAGTCAGTACTTCGGTACTGACATGATTTATAACAAACCTTTCTAAAATTGTCCGTTTATAAATTTTGAAATTATAAAGTAACTAAGGTTTCAACTCCCTCATGCAAAGTTGACCTTAGATGGATTTGGCTTTTTTTTATGTATTTTTGTCATATAGCTCTTCAACTGTTTCGGTACTTATACATCCCTCGGATTTCAAATGTTTGGCTTTGAGCGTTGCTGATGAAGGTAAATCCAGAAAAGCGCTTCGGACGCATGAAATTATTAAACGTGTTGTTTTCAATTTTTTACGTTGTTGTATTTCTATGTCTGTCAGTTGTAAGTTCGCGTCTGATTATATTTTAAATTAGTACTACGGACACTGCCCAAAAACGTCCAAAGACCTGGTTTTCGAGTTATTGTAGACTTGTAAGTTTTGGTGTATTATTTGGGTTAGCTTTGACTTTATTATCGCTTCATTTCTGCTGGTATCCGTCGACTCATTTAGGGCTGTACTGCTGGTTGACTAGGTACAATGTACTGGCACATAGCGTGTATAACCAAAATTAACATCACCTAAGCTGAATCGAACCGAAACTACTTCGTAAACCAAAAAAACATTGTTTTAGGCTCCATGGCATGTTAAACAACTTTGTTGTACTATTACACCACTGACATAGGTTAGGATGAGGGTTGGTCCCTTCAAACGAGTTTAACCCCGCCACATTCTATATGTGCCTGTCCCAAGTCAGGAGCCTGTAGTTGAGTGGTTGTTGCTTTTTATTGTTTCTCATATTTGTTTTTCGTTTATTGTTTTGCATAGTTTGCTCTTATGTTGTGCTGTTACATCACTGTCCCAGGTTAAGTGGAGGGTTTGGCACAAAAAAAAACTAGTTAACCCCCGCCACATTCTGTATGTGCCTTTCCCAAGTCAGGAGCCTGTAATTCAGTGGTTGTCGTTTGTTGCTGTGTAACATATTTGTTTTTCGATCATTATTTTGTACATAAATTAGGCTTTACATTTGTCATTTCGGGGCCTTTTATAGTTGACTATGCGGTATGGGCTTTGATCATTGTTGAAGGCCGTCCGGTGACCTGTAGTTGTTAATGTCTGTGTCATTAGGTCTCTTGTGGAAAGTTGTCTCATTGGCAATCATACCACATCTTCTCATCTTTATACTAACAACTATTTTAAAACGACACAGGCACATACTCTCTTGTATTGAAAATTCTTTCATTTTGATGACAGTGAAAATTATCCATCCCTTACCCGCATCTCATGCCATTTGACCTTATACAAAAATACTTGCCATTTATTGTAAACTATAGGTTACTAAGGAAAATTGACATCAGTAAAAAAATATTTAATATCTCTTGAAAATACAAAAACGAATACAGGCATTTACTAGTAACCCGTAGATGTTTACATTCTAGTTCTTTGTTCTCTGGTTGATACATGTAGTTACTTCATTGGCAAACATACCATATTTTCTTATTTTCATAAAGAAAGCACTCTCAAGACTTATTACCCTGTACTTCACATTTGTGTCCATTTAAGTAATGGTACTCGTTCTTAAAGTCCGCTGAGAAATATTCATGCATATTAAGCTTAAAGGGAGAGAACAAAAAAGACATGTGTAGTTCTGGAAACGTGGAAGACTGAACTGAAGGAAGGTATTTTGGATATCTGCAGGAAAAATGTATGTTGGATAAGGACAGGCATTTTGCATGGTAGTATTTACCAACTTACTATCATTACTACTATATTTCTTATCATGATTTCTTTGATAGTGGGTTTCAACGTACAAGGAAGCTATTGAACTAAGGGTTCCGGATGGTGCAGTTGAAGCCTTCCCCTATAAAGTTGTACAGACGCCATCATGATTGGACTGACCATTATGAAATATCTGTGTCTGTCTTATTTTATTCAATTATAGCGACACCGAACGCGACCTATCGTCGGATGTTTATTTGCAGTGAGCAACACGCAGGTGCCACTAGTGGTTTTAGTGGGGCTCCTGTTCCTCAATCTTTTAATTCGTTTTTTGTAGTGTTATGTTGACTGTTGTATGTCTTTACGTAGTTTTTTTTACCATGGTATTATCTGTTTGTCCTTGACTTATGTATTTTCACTGAGCCGTGGTATTTTC